TAGCTCAGGGCAATTTTGAGAGTGACCCACTCTGAGATTTGCTAAAAAGAAATCAGAGACTTCTTTGTGATTTTATGGAAACATAAAAATTTCCAGTGACACAACCTCTATTTTTGTGCCTGGACATTGAGGAAATCCCTCCGTAGCTGAGCTAATCTTTCCTGGTATGCACATTTCTGGCTAGACCCATGTGTGTACAGATACCTACTAACATTAGAACTGGAGCTGTGTCTTTATGCTGAGCCTTCAAAACAAATTGAGTCAAGAAAGCAAGTGTGTGAGATTTTTGTGGTGCTTAAATAGTTTGCAGGATGCCTTTGCTCTAAAAGTACTTTTTCATTAATTTTTTTTCAATAAGATGGATCCAGCCGCCCACCGTAGGTCTGAAGTCGGTCTGTTTATTCATTGTATTTATTGAGGCCTGGTGCTGTTGGGAATAGTTGAAGGTTTGGCCCTCTAAGTGTAAACCTAACCAGCATTTGTACTTCATAAATTTTAAAGCCAAGAAAAAAAAGGCATTGTGCTCATGTGGTCTTTCCAAAGACAGAGCACGCACTTTACCTAATTCTTATGCTTGAATCCAGTCTCTTTAGCTGAATTTAGACTTCTTTTAGGAAAAATGAAAAGTCTACCTTAAACTAAATTTTTCAGTGAAATACTCCACCAGAGCTGATTGATAGACTATTGTAATGGATAATTGCCCTTAATGGTAATAATTACCCTATTTCTAATCTAAATATGCTTAGTCTCCACTTGTAGTGGAGTACATTCCTGAGTCATTTACAAACTCTACCAGTATCCATCACCCTAATTTGGGGGGAAGGGGGGAGTCACTGTTAAAAAACGCATTCTCTCAGCAGTGACTTTCCATTTATAGTTAGATTTTGAGACATACCAGTTCATTGGCTTTTAACTCAATTTATGTGTTCCACATTTACTGTGTAGCTTTACAGTTTCATAACCCCAAGATCATGCGGAATTAAGTCGAATGTCATAGCACAGTCTAAAGTTATCACACCAGCACTAATACATCTATTTACTAAACCAGTAATCTCCTCAGAAAATATCTAGTTAGTTTGACAAGATGTGTTTTCCTAAACCTATGCTGTTTAGCATCAATTATTTATTTTAATATTTTATTAATTGAATGAGATTTTCATTATTTTGGCAGGATTTGTCAGGATGACAGGCTGTGATTGCTTAGCTCACTCTGCTTATCTTCTTTAAAATGTCATCACTTTCCTACCACTTTCCACCCAACGGTATGTTCAGTGATGTGCAGAAGGGCTTAGGAGAAAAAGCACATTTTCGCCAAGTTGTTTTGCACTGTGAAAATCACTTTCTCCATTCAGCTGATTTTGAGACCAGTGAAGAGCAGCCAGGAATGAGTCAAACCAGGAGGCAATCATGCTCTCAGCAGCTGAAACCGCTCTCATGAGGCCGGCGATGGGTCCCGAGGGAGTAAACACCATGGCCGGGCTAGCCAACCCTCAGCTCTCAGTAGCCCCACAGTGATGACGAAGTGAGTCCCTGTGCCTAGAGATGTCCTCCACTCCCCAAATACACCTCTGTGAATGACAGCAGTATGTGGCTTGTTTCTTTACGTGACAAGGGAAGGGATTCTGAAAAAAGGATTCTGATTTGGTTCTGAAAGCATACACCTTTTGGGGGTTTATAACGGATTTGAAAGAGGTGGTACAAAGAAGGAGGCAACCATGAGAATTTAAGTGTTTTCCTGCATTTCATCAAAGCTTTTGCAAGACAATGAAACAACTGGGCATTGTCATTGTTATAGGTAGTGTGGGACATCTTCTGCTCAGTGTTTACTATAATAATTTCAGTATTAGAGCAGGATTTGGGACTCATGTCTTCCCTCTTCCACAGAGTGCCGAAGAAATGCATTGCTATTCTATGCAAAGTGGCACAGTTGCGAGAGGGTGCTATGGGTGTTCTCACCCCAGGATAATTTCTGATCATTAAGGGCATGGCACACGCGGGCTCAGCCCCTCGCAGGTGCAACCTGGTTTTTCTACACTGTGGGTGATGAGCTGGGGGCTGGGACCCAGGCACAGGAGGATGGAGAGCCTCCCCAGCCCTGGGCTGCCCCAGGGAGCAGAGCTGTGAGCCCCATCCTAGGGGGACAGAGGCATCAACGCCTCCCCAACATCAAGAGCTTAGTGCGAAACTCACCAAGAGGCACCTCTCTGAGGACATGGCACTTCCCAGGCACCTTGCTGGCTCTTTGGGGAGTTCCCCTCTCGGCTGACTTTCCCAGCTGCTGCTCATAGGCACGCAGCACGGCAGGCATGTGGAAGCATCCATGCGGGCCAGGCTTGGGCTTCCCATCAGCACAAGGGGATTAAAAGCAGTTCTGCTCTTCCTCAGAGGATAATTGTGAGGAGAAATGCATTAAGGACATAGAAATGCCACAGTAATGAGGGCTATGTGAATGCATACTGAGAAAGGCAGAAAACAGCACGCAACCAGGAGCTTATTAGAAAAAGAGTGGACATTTCTAAGGAAAACAAGTACCTAGCACTGCAATAATATGGGGTAGAAACAGAAAATACTTTTTAAAGCTGTATAAACCCACCAGCCACTAAGAAACAGGCTTTGATAGCTTCCAGTGTGATTTCTCGTGCTTCTTTCTGAGTGCCTGGTCTGGACCAGTGAGGAAGGGAACTGAGCCAGGTGGATTAGGGGTCGCCTCCACATCAGCAATTCTTGTTTTCCTGTCGTTAATAACGACATATAGGCTGTCAGGAATCATTTTCACTATTCAGTCAGTCCCACATATATCTGCTTATTCTCCATGTAAAAATACTGTGATAAACCATCAAGGAGCATGTGGTGCACAGGCATGTAACAAGCCTTGCTTTATACCCTGTCTCTGCCATTTGTCAGTCTCGTGTTGTGCCAAGGAGCCACCCCGTCTCACCATCTCGGTTTGCTTTACGAATAGTTTGGTTGATCCCGCCTTGGAGGAAGAACAAGGACAAGATAATGATGGCCTTACTTGCCCCACTTTTTATGATCTCATCTAATTTTACATGGCATCTGCTGATGCATATGTTTCTTCTGATTTCACTGCAACCTTTTGTGTTTGCCAGGGCAACACCAGGAGAGTGGAGTTGGCCCTGAGACTGCCTGCTCTTTCATGCAAACATTTTGTCATCTTTGAAATGCCCTCTGTTCTGGAATCTTAGAAAATAACAATATTGAAAACTTTCAGAGAATATTAGAAACATTAAAAACATTAGCTTTATCACAACACAATAAATAGTTCTATCACCCGCTGAAAACTGACTTCTGCAGCTGACATAGTAATAAAGTAGAAATTCAGTTGCTAAGAGTCTGGGAGTGGACACATTGTCAAAAGAGGAGCCAGGAACCATAAGTTTTTCAAAACACTTAATTTTTCAGCTTTATTTTTCTCTCCCATAGGAAAAAAAAAAAACCACAAAAAAAAAAACACAAAAAAACCTACCCTCACAGTCACTATACGTACAATAAATTGAAGGCGATATTTGCTAGACAAGTATGATCAGAGTGATAGCATGTGTTGAATGCTGATGCATGTGAGAAAGATAGGAACTCTTATGTGGCACCAAATGCTGAACTGCCTATGAATTATCAAGCTGCTGGCTTTATTATTTTGATTGCTTCTTATAGTTCTTTACCTAGTCTTTTTCTAAGGCGCTCCTGCAGATTTCTCTGGTCAATGTTGCCAATTCTTCTATAGATCATGCAACTGGAAAAAAAATCTTTTCTCAGTAATTGTGTACTTCAGGATTTTACCTAAGGAGTGTTAAACCTAAGAGTATGTGTATGTCTTTTCCTAATCAAACACAGGAGGCACAGGAGATGTCAGTTCACAATAAATGATGCAGGTGTGATGACATATTTTAACTTGTGCACCTATTTGTGATGTGTATAACAGGAAGTTCAGAATTTAGGAGGTATCAGATCAAATAATTAGACTAAAAAAAAGAGCCTTTTGCTATATTTAATTCTCTCCTCTCCTTAACTGAAAATGTAGATTTAGACAGTCCCATTGACTGATTCATTATTAAACTTCATTTAGGGTGACCCAAATTCTCATGGAGTTTATGTGGTTGCATACGCTGAGTTAAGGGTCTCTTCCCCCTCCGCAATACACTGGTAGTGCTCATGCCATTGTCTGTTGCTCACCATCCTTCAGGAAATAAGCGTCCCCTCAGAGCATGGGAAAAGGGCTGAAGGCCCTTTCCTTCCATGGCCCTGAAGGAAAAGATTTCAACTAAATGCCACCAGTATTACTCTCGATGCAAAATATTGCTTGTTTTGAGTGGTACTTACATAGACAATTCTAGCCCTAAATTGAATACGAAAAATCTAATAATAATTGCTTATATTTTCATGGGTTAACATTTCTTAATGTTGACATTTCTTAACTATTGGACGTACAATTCAAAGACAATGTAACGGGAAAGAAGCTTGTCAACTGTAGTCCTCTAAAAGCAGTTAATAAATGTAACAAAATTCCTGTTCTTTTAAAACAAATCCCCGTTCCTTGCTCCAAGGTTACAAGGATAGCAGCTGCAATACTGATTGGTAGGCACTGCTGCAGCTCCCTGATAAACCTCCCCTAATGGGGTTTGAAAGCCTACCCTTATCAGCGTAACATCTCTTTCTCAAACTAAATCTGATGCGGCAGGAGACGGCAAATGCAGAGGGAGGAGAGGTTTCCCATGGGTAGCAGAGCTGAGCCTTTCTCCTTCGTGCTGAGCGTGTGGACAGCACTGACACAGAGAACCTGGTCATCTGGGGACCATGATAAGAAATATCTAGTACCAAACTAGTTGATTGCTTGGAAAAAAAAAGGGTCCTAAATGTAAAATATCCTCTTTGCATGTATCTGTGGCCCGGGCATAGTGCTATTGCATGGGTGACTGAAGCGTATCTGATTATACACTGCTTATTTGGGAGAACTCATGTATTTTTCCACACTCTTTTTACAGCTCCCAAGTCTACCTTTTGTCCCACTGAAGAGACCTGGTGGCCAGGCCTGGTTATTATCATTGCAGTATGCTGCGCCACACTAGTGTTCCTCTTCGTAGTTGTCATCATTTGCTACAAAGCCATCAAAAGGTAAGATTCCAAATGCTTTTACTGTGCTTAGGGCAATGCAAACCCACAAAGGTTGACCCAAGACTTGGCTGACACCTTGTTTTGTTTAAAGGCATCCTAAAGGCAAAATGCATCCTGTAGTCAGTGTGTTTTCATTGGCAAGTCACTGTATGTACTGTATCCTACCTGCGTAAAGGATGAAGTTTAATGCACAGTCATGGGCATGAGGAGGAGAAAAACTAGAAATGGGACAGGGCCACAATGTTCAGATTAATATGAACTCCACAAAGTCAAATTGCTGCAGGTTGTTGGGGAATGTCGATAGCTTTGGCTTGGCCCGGTGTAAAGGCAGGAAACACCGTCCTACCCAGTTCTGGCGGTATTCAAAATTTGCATGTGGGTTGTGAGATTTTTGGCCCAGGCCCATCACTAGTTGTAGCATTTCAGATTGATACAAGCTCTTCTAACCCAAACTCTAGAGTAATTTGTGTAGTTTTATTTGGAGACTCTACTTCTAATTTATTCTTGCTTCAAAATTATCATCTAAGGAATCCATTTCAAAACCTGTCTTTTTTAATTTAGAAGCCTGTGTGAAGCCTATGTACAACATGGTGTGTAGTAACCACTTCAGCTCCCCTACCACTGTCTTTGCAATAGATATGATTGCATAGGCCTCCGGAAGTTAGAAATTACTGACTTCAGTTATACAGAAAAATGGGAGTGGGAATAATTTCTTCACCTAAAAAATATTTCATATTTTGAGTGGAAAAAGTCAAAATCCATAACTCTCGTGAGTTACTGCAGTGACACCTGAATCACAGTTTGGATTAAATGGTGTTTATTCAGCCTTGGGATTTTTTTTGGAGGGGGGGGAAGAAAAGAAAATACCTTTCATGAAAAATGTTATCTGCCTGCAAAGCAACTGCAAGATTTTTGATGAGCCTCAGCAGGGATATCACAATGGTGGAGCATTGCACGTGCTTTGTGGTTGTCTGAAAAATTTATGCAGGATTTGAGGGATAGTATATCCAAGAGCATCAAAAAGGGAGAATTCAAACAAGAAGACAGAAGTCTGTATCTAATTTCTTATTAAAATTACATAAGTATCTCTGCTATTCTAGTTTAGCTAAAATGAATACTTATTAGTTTTGAGGAGTTGGAAGGCTTTCCCTCTATCTACTGAACTTCTTAAAAATCATCTATGGACAACTGAAATTGGAGCTGAATTGGATTGGTAACACATTGCAAAATTTCTTACTTGTAGTTCCTAATCTACCGTTGGCTGTTCATAGGGGATTGGTCCAATTCCATGTGGAAAGTTGTATTTGTTTCAAAAACAGCTATTGTATTTGTCTGCCTAGTGCCAAATTGTGAATGATTTCTGCCAAGGCTGCAAAATATACCTACAGGAGCAGTAACTCTCCAGGGCAACTTGTGCCTAGCAAAGAATTGCTTTTCAAATCTGCTCTGATGCTGGTAGATGGGAGGTACAGAAAAGAAATTTAAACAGACAAATTTAGAGCTGCCTTGAAAAGGCTGTGGGAATTCACATAACAAAGTCTTATGCTTCATGTCAGTGAAGAATAATACATATACTTGATGAAGACACCCATTATTTGTCAACAGTGTGAATATCAACATACAAGTCAGCCGCTTGAACAGGCATTAGGCTCAGAGAAAAGTGAAAATTCCTCTTAGATCTCCTTATTGTTGACATTCACACTGCTGACAAATGCTAAGCTGAAAACCACTCAGATGTGGGACAGACAGCTATAAAAGAAAATCTTATTGATTATATTTTTACAGAGTAACTAGAGCATTTCTTTTCATCAATGAGTCCTTCCTAAAACAGCTCTGTTAAAAGGATGCCCTAAAGTGCCTGGCAACATTCCTCAGTAGTTCAGGTTCCTTGATCCACTGTAAAAGATATCTATTGATAAATGCTGGAAAATAAGATGTTTCACAAGAGAAGCATCTCTGCCTTCGACACAGAGTATTATCCCGTATTGTTTAGCTGAATTGGCTTTAGCTAGTGTGAGAAATCCTTCACTCTATTTTTTGCCGGGAAGTAGAGGTGGCTGGGGGAAGAACAAGGGGATTAATCTGAGTGATGCTGAAGCCGAGAGTCCCTCCAGTGTGTTCCCAGTCTCTGGCTCCATAACCATGCTCTGCCCCTTCCTTTCTCACTCCTCCATCCCACCATCTCTCCTCTGCAGTACTCCTCCTGAGCCCTCATTCCTGTGCATCTCCTGGAATTGGGACCTCTGTCATTGCATCTCCAACAAATGTGTCTCCCACCTCCAAGGCAGTATGTTGTCTGCTTACTTAAAATATACCCGTCCCCTTTAGATGTGACTGCCACCCACTCATCCTCCAGCTGCATCTAGGTTGGGTTGTAACCTCGATATAGCACAACCCTTTTCGTCCAAGGAAAGGTACACGCTGATTGCCTTGGTGTAGAAATCAGAACCCAGCCTGAAGACCTCACCTTTGCCTGCCCCAACTCTTTCTTAGCTCTGGGTGAGGATAGCCTTGTGTCTCACCTTTCCTTCTTGCACCACGTCAGGCATGAGTGCAGGTTTCAGAGGTGTCCCAGCCTCGGTTCCCTGCTGTCATGTAGCTGGTCACTGGGAGGGGGCCAGGAAAGTGGAAAAGTATGCTGAGGACGGGACTGTTTACAGTGCCCGTCACAAACTGACCCTCAAAGACCTCTCCTGCTCAGTTTCCTCTCTCTGAAACAGATATCAAAGCATTTGCCTACATCTCAGGGGTGTCACTAAGATTCGTCACCTACTTTCTGATGAGCAGTGTAAATGTGAAAGTGGCAAGAATTATTATCCAAGCATACGCTCCCTAAAACCTTACATGAGTGTCACCCTCCAGTATTTTTAGACAGGAATTTTTTTACCACTTCCTGGGGGAGCAAGGGAAGGAGATCCATGTCTTCGCGTTTGGAAACCCTCATTCTGCTGAGAGCCTGGGGTGCGACAAAAACTGGAAGTGCCAGTAAGCATGAAAACTGGCTTGGCAGCAGCAGATGGCTTATATCTTTTTTTGGTGCAACAGGAAAAACATTTAAAAATTCTCACCAGCCCAGCAGCTAAAAAAGAGGTAAACCAAAGTATCTACTGAACATGAGCTCAGATCAGATGATAGTACCAGTTTTACCCATGGATAGATGTATCCTATGTATACATCTGTCTATATGCTATGTATCCTATCTATAGTAGATCCTATGTATCTACTATAGTAGACATATATGGTATGTATCTCCTAGTGACAAACCCAGAAGTATTACAGGAGAGTATTGCAAAAGCCTAACTGGAATAACTTGATTTCTCTGCTTGTTAGTCTTCCAATTGAAGTGGGGTTTACAGCCTGACCATCAATGCTATCTATATCCTATTTAGCCTAAAGCATACGGCTCAGCTTAATTAGCAGTGTAAGCACTGAAGAGATGCTGAAGAGTGAAATAACAGCAATCATCTGGTTGTAGGGTGTAACAGGAGTTAAATGTTTTAGTAGGAAAGTGCAGGCAGAGATTTATTTGCACAGACCTTGGGTCCGTTCTATTAATCCCTCACTTTCATAAGAATCAAATTTGAAGTAGAAAGAAAAAGAAAAATCCTATTGTGCTTAAGTTAAAATCTCATTTACTGGTTTCAAAGGGCCAGACCCAATCAAACTCTCTCATGTCTTCTTTTCTGTAGCAGGAAGAGAGGGAGTGACTGTCCTCGAGGTATCGTAACTCAACTGTATTTTTATTCAATCTGTATAAAAACTGTTTCTCCTGGGGTGATTTGTTTTCCCTCGTAAAAGCTAAAACTTTAGCGTATCAGCAATTTTAGGCACTAAGATTTTTGTGATGAAATACAACCTAGTGAAGCGGTGCGTCTTTGTATAAAATAACTACCAGAACCAAGCCAGCATGCTGCTACCTCCGTCCCTGCATCTCCCCTGGAAATACTCAGGTTCTCCCAATATGAAGTGGTCATAAGAAATGCTGAAATCCATTCCAGTGGATGGATTTGACCTCTCTGGTCCATGAGGGAACTAATAGCAAAATGTGTCAGTCAGCTTTAATACTCGGAGAACGGCTAGGCAGGTTAAACTCTTGGGATGATACATATGGGGCAATTCTTCGAAGGCTTTTAAAGCAGCCTCTAAATTTCCTATGTGTGATGCTGGTGTCTGCAGTGTTGGGCACTGCATGACTGGCACACCATGTACAGATGTGTGCTACACACCTGCATAGATCAAGAACCAGAGGAGATCGCATGTGATATTGTGTTGTGCTGCAGCATGGTTACACATATGGTGATAGCACCCTCACTTTGCCAGTGGGCGAACAGCTATTGTCTCTGGTCTTGGTGACAGAGGGATATTTTCTCTTTTAAAAAATGTGAATTTTCTCTTAAGAAACTTTTCTAAGGCACATTAGAAAAAATTTAAGGATTTGCACTTAGTGCCAGCAGCAATCACAGTCTGTAACATTTGTAGATTTCTAGGACAGGTTTAATCACTCACTGGCCAGGGCTCAGGCCCACTGTAAGCAGTGGGACTTTTCTGCTCATTTTGTGAATAAGGAAAGTGATCTGACAACCAGTGATTTCTGTAACACATAGCAAGAGCAGACGAATAACTGGTTCAAAATCTGGAATACCTCCAGGTATTTCTCTACCACGTCTCTGTCCGTAAAAACCTGCCATTCTTTCTCTTTCCCTGAAAGACTGTCACCAAGAAGTAAAAGCAGGAGGTCCAAGGACAATTCATAAATTAGCACAGGCTGGAGGAAGCTGGATCATTTCAGTATTACATGGTTTGTAGACTGGGCTTGGGCAAGTGCACCATGAATGCCAGCAGCTCTAACAAATCTTCATCTGGTAAAAATCGGTGCGGATTCAAAAACAATCAGTGGAGCTCAATTCATTTTAATCAGCTCTGGAGGTGGCTGTCTCTTAAGCTTTTTTTAACATCTCCAAGCACCTGAATAATAGTAAGACAGTAAGACTGGAGGGAAG